TTTTGCGCCCGAAGATATCGAAATATGTAAGTACATATCTGTATTTTCTTGTTTAATTGTCGGATTTGCTTTGAGTTAGTTTTCACCGATCAGTGTTGCTGCCGTTTGAAGTTCGTTCTGAAAGTGGATATGGTTTTAGGTTTGACTATTTCCAAGTTTGACAATTTTATCTTTTCTTTGATAGATCAATCTGCGAAAATGACCAAAAATAAGCCCAAATTTGGAGCTTTGCCGAAGCTGAACAAGCCTAAGAAAAGTCATGAAAGCAGCAAGCCTTCACCACGTCCTGAACGTTCGGTTGTAAAATTTAACGAGGGGCCTTTACCACACAGCTGCTACAAGGGATTTTCAGAGCTCTTCCAACGAGTTAAAAGCCTAAAAAGCCTTGGTGATTGGAGCCTGAAGATCTTTGAGGACAAAATTGTGCTGAAGAAAACCGTGCATCCGTACGTTCTGCCACGTTTGGAAATTATTATGGATGACAGTCTTGGCTTTACTGTGAAAGTATTTGGTTCCTATTTACCTGAAGATCATCCTTTGTACCTGGACTATCGTAGAACAGTTCGAAATATTACTGTATCTAACTTAATAAGGCAACTGAAATTCGTGATGACTAACAATTTTTTTTTACTTGTAATCCAACATTAACAAATTAAATGTTGAATGCAATATTCAGAGAAGTCACCACCGGTTGCTGGGCAATGAAAAATTTTAACAAATAATGTATAAGGCAGGGAATTGAACAACTAGTAAGATATTTCAGTTCTATGCTAGTTATATTAGTTGGGCACAGGGAGAAGGAAGGGGGAATCCCCAGCCCACAGCCCTCAGTGACTGCCCCGAATATTATTAATTTTTAAGTTTACAGTATTTTTGTATCGCTCTTTTTTGCTACAAGGTTCCCAGGAAAAAGGTCTCTCAAATTCATGATGACTAACAAAAACATTTCTTTTTTACTTTTAATCTAACATGAACAACCAGGTGTCTTGTCTTTATTATAGTAAGTACATAAAATAATTGTCCTTCAGAAGGCATTTCCCAGGATAATTTCTCTATTGCACTAATTCTGGGTTATCTTAACTCAACCTTTAACAACCTGGCCCAGGACTCTAAACATGTCATGCACAGGACTTTTTGTGGCATGGTAAATTCGGCTTTACATTGTATGTGAACAGTTCTTAATTCAAATGTTCTTGATAATTGATACATGTAAGTATCAATAAAATAATTAACAAATTTTTTACAATGCCATGTTTTACTTAGGATAATAAAATG